CTGTCTTCTGTCTCATTGAGTCAAGACAATTTGCAAATGATGAGGATAACAGAAAAAAAAAACTGGAATAAAACTGGCCATAACTTTGATAACAAATGCCTCCCCCCTAATTAAAAAAGAATATATTTCTTTACTTCAAAAGTACTTCGAGGGAGTACTGATAAATATTTTAGCATGTATAAACACACATCAAAAATATATTACATCACCAACGTTTGTATTCATATGCAAATGTCCACTATTTAAATAACAGTTGATATGGCTGGAGACTAAACTAATCGTAACCTTGAAGACGAAACTACTAGAGAAATAGTAGTAAATACTTTTAACTAATGATAGTTTACAACATTCTAATCACTAATATTTCTCTAGTAGTTTCGTCTCAAAGGTTAGGATTAGTTTACCCCCAGCTGTATATGGTGGAGATTTGGATATTAATGTAACATTTTCCCCTTCATTTTTTTCTTTTGTTAGTGGGGCGGATAGCAACTCAGATATGTGTAATTACTATAACTAGTAAAATAACATTAATTATAATAAGAATTTTTTACACACACACACACACAGACAAGAACAAACACATACGCACACACACACAAATACACACACACACAGACAAACACAAATACACACACACAGACAGACAAACACAATCCCCCCCACACACACAGACAAACACACACACACACACACACACACACACACACATATTGGTTGGTTCGGAAAGCTCATGCTGATTTTTCTCGTTCCTGTTCCAAGACGTTAGAACAGCTCAAATTTACTGACAGATATAATATACTTACATTTCCGATTAGAGCAAACTTCAAACTATCTCTTGAGAAAGAAAGTTTAAAATTACTTAATTTGTGGTAATTTTGAAAATGGAAAATTATAAGGTGCATTGTAGACATTTGATGCAAAAATGCCTCGCAAATAACAAAAAAAGATATGTGCTGTGTACGGTGAAGGTGTTTTAGCTGACAGAACTCTACGAAAGTAGTTCACTAAGTTTAGAGTTGCTGATTGTAACCTTATTGATTAAGATCGCTCAGGCAGACCCTCTTGCTCCCCCACTACAAATGACAACCAAACCAAGAGATTGATTGAGAATAACCCGCATTACACAACGCGGGAATTAGCAGAAACAGTAAATTTCTCAAAAATCCACCATCCATGAGCATTTAGTGAAGCTTGGGTACTCAAATCGATACGATATTTGTGTACCCCATGATCTGAGTGAAAAGAATCTTTTGGATTGCATTTCATCTGTGATTTGCTATAAAAACGCAATAAAAATGCAGCGTTTTTGGAACAAATTCTGACGACTGATCAGAAATGGATCATTTACAGAAATGTTCAGCGGATATGATCCTGAGGTAAGTGATATGAACCAACTTTAGCCACCTCAAAAGCAGGTCTTCATCCTAAGAAAGTCATACTGTTCATCTGGCAGGATTGGAAAAGTATCCTCTACTTTGAGCTTCTGCGAGGTAACCAGTCAATTGATTCTGAAAATTACTGCTAGCAACTGGATGAATTAAAGGCAGCAGTTCAAGAAAAACGGACAGAATAGTCGAACAGGAAAATTGTAGTTTTTCATCAGGATAGTACCAGACCTCACGTTTCTTTGGCGACCCGGCAAAAATTATTGCAGCTTGGCTGGCACGTGTTACCCCATCCGCCATATTCACCAGACATTGCTCCTACAAATTTTCATTTATTCAGGTCCTTGCAAGATAATCTCAATGGTAAAAAAATTTAATTCTTTGGATGACATAAAAAAAAAACACCTTAATGAGTTCTTGGCTGAGAAATCACCGAATTTTAGATGGAATCTTTAACTTGAAGGGAAAATGGAGAAAGGTTGTGAAACAAAATGGTTCATATTTAGTCGAATAAATATGTAATGGCATAATTTTGTTTTGTGTTTTAATTTTCCTTAAAAATCGGCATGAACTTTCCGACAAAATACAAATACAACCAAACACACACACACACACACACACACACACACATATACACACACATGTGTGTATATATATATATATATATATATATATATATATATATATATATATATATATATTTATATTTAGTTTATGAAAACTAGGTAATCCGTATGGGTAAACCCAAGGAGGATAAAATCCAGAGAGCTCAATGTAAATCCAGTGAAAATAATTTAAATAAAACAGACCATTTTAAGGTTCCATGTAATAAATTATTTCAACACAGCCCTTTTAAAGGACTGTGGATCATCAGACTTTACTTCCAAAGTAAAGTCTGATGATCCGCAGTCCTTTAAAAGGGCTGTGGTGAAATAATTTATTACATGGAACCTTAAAATGGTCTGTTTTATTTAAATTAATATATATATATATATATATATATATATATATATATATCCATAAATAGGGTGTCCAAGTGTGCAATTTAAAATACTTAAGTATTTTAAATTGCACAGAAGCTTTATGGACACCCTGTATATAGACTATCGTTTTGCGTGCATGGACAAACTTACTTCAACTGTATTAACTTACTTACGTAAATTATTTTGCATATTTGGCATTCCAAATTATATACACTCAGATATCGGACCTAGTTTTGTGCCGGAGGAATTAAGAATATTTTTCAAGAGAAAGGAATAGCTACTAGCACATCTACTGCGTAGAACTCACCAGGAAATGCTTAAGTGGCGAGATTGAACGAAACCGTGTGGCGGACGATCTACTTAGCCTTAAAATCGATAGGTTTACCTGTGCTTCAATGTGAAACTAACTATTTACCCACACGTGCTACCACCCCGACTTGGGAACGCCAGCAATTAAGAGTTGCTCTAACATTCCTCAAAACCTCCTGATCAAAATCTTTGCTGTCTGATTCAGTTTATCGTCATACAAAGGACGTCTCATAAGCGGGAAGGGGGGCGTCCTGTTCCGCTGCAGAGGGGTGCAGTCGGCGTATTCTGAAGCCCCAGCCGGCAGAGCGAGACAATGTTGAATTCATATGCAAATCTACACCAAATAAAAATCAGTTGATACAGTTGGAAGCTAAATTACACCTAACTTTGAAGACGAAACGACTAGATAAATAGTAGTTTTAAGTAATTATAGTTTACAAAATTCCATCCACTAATATTTCACTATGAGTTTCGTCTTCAAGGTTAGGATTTGTTTAGCCTCTAACTGTATCAAGTGCCATTTATATGGTGGATTTTTACATAGAATCCAGCATTCTCCCCCACATTTTTTGTTGTTGTTGGGGCAGATAGCAACACAGACGTGTAACTTAAAATAACGTTAATTGTATTAAGAATTGTATATATATGTGTGTGTATATATATATATTTCTTCTCCCGATGATGGCCATTTTGGCCGAAACTAGTCGAGGAAACTAAATGAAACAATAATAAAAAACGAAAGAATATTAATCTACAACACAGTGTGTCTGAAGATTTTAATTTTTTAATTTTTTTAATTATATATATATATATATATATATATATATATATATATATATATATATATATAACGTCACACATTATGAAATGGACAAAGTCCGACAATTATTTTAAGACATTTTTATGTTTATACATTCTTTTTATAGATACAAATATTTAAGTAAATGCTATGTTTATAATAAACAGTATTAAGCAACATTTACCGGCCTGAATGTCCGAGAAATTTTTACAGAAAATATTCGTCTTCCGACAGGATTCGAACCTGTATCCTATACGGAACCGTCATTTAGCTTGACGTGCCTTAACCGATTTGGCTACAGAGGAGCGTTCGGTTAGCAAGATTGAAGTTCAGATACAGTAAATTTGACCTAAATCAATCAGGTGGTTCCACGCTCCTCATAACATCCTGATTAGAGGCCTTGCTGTTGGACGTAGTTTATCGTCATACCCAGGACGGCCAAAGCAACATGTGGAAAACCCCCAAACATAATGTCTACTAGATATACACACATACAAACTTATGAATATAGATTATATCTGAATCCCACATAGACACACTAGGATTATGATACACTTACATACATGGCATAAAATTTGTGTTTTTTACAGTTAGGCGAAGAAACCATTATTTTTGTCCGCTTTGAGTTGAATTCTAAAGGCCATAAATTATACAAACGTTGTTTAACAAGTCGAATGCACGTAAAAAATAATTAACCAATGAAAATGAAACAATGCAAAAATAAAAATAACAAAATTTTTTCTCCTTCCTCCCCGATATCTCATTCTCTGATGAAGCTTTAATAAAGCGAAACATGTTAGATTGATAAATGTTTCCAATTTGTTCTTTATCCTATCGTAACACAGAAAATAATGGTTGTCCTGGCGCAGCTGACGTGATATTTTCTCGATGTAACGTTGTTCAGAAATATGTCGGAAACCTATGCTTATATCGAATTATAATTTATGCTAAAAATGCCAAAAAAACTGAATGCGGTTTAGGACAAATATTGAGGAAAGGAGACTTGGAGAATATAACACTGACATAGAGGCAAGCAGTTCAACCCGCTTGACAAGATCCAACCAAATTATACTTTCTTTTTTCTTCACTTAAAGCATTCTCTTTTCTTACGGTGGCACGGTGGATAGCGGCTCGGATTGAGGAATCGGAGTGCCGAGTTCGAATTCTAATCGAGTTTATTATATTGTGGTAATACCCTTGGGGAAGGTATGAATCGCTTCTCTACCCAGCTATGAATAAATAGCAGGAAAGAGTGGGTTTTATAGTTTTGGTTGGCAACCGGTCTAAGAGCAGGATAACTCTTAATTAAAAAAAAAAAGAAGAAAAAACGCGTACGAATCGAGGGCCATCCATACCATATTCAGTTATCTTCGGCTGTCGGTGAAGAGTTTGAAGAGGAGATGGGCGCTGCCGTGCTATTTAAAAGTCCTCTGAAAAGATCATGAGGAAGAATAATAGAAGTCTGTTTCTTCTGCTCTTAGATTCCCCTCCCCCCAGACAATTGAAACAGTCGAGGGACTGATGATGATATCTTTTCTTTTCATTTTCTTTTTTTTAAATTTCCTTCTCTTTCCTTCATTTTTTTTTCAGTTTCGTTTTTCTTTCTTACTTTTATTTTCATTTTTCATTCCTTGCATTTCCTCACAATTTTCTTTTTCTTTTTATTTCTTTCGTTTAGTTTCGTTTTCTCTTTTTCATTCTACTGAATATTTTTCCTTTTTTTCTCTTCTCTTTAAGTTTCCTTCTTTCTTTTTCGATTTCATTTTCTTTTCTTAAAATTCCCTTCTGTCTCTCCATTGTCATTAAGATTTCCGTTGTTTTTCTTTTGACAGCTCTTTCTTTTTTTTTCTTCCTTTTTTCTTTCATTTCAATTTTCATTTTCACTCATTGTTAGTTTCATTTCTTTTATTTTTTTCTTCTCAATTAGTTTCTTTTAACGGTTTGTTTCTTTTTTTCTTCTTTCCTTCTTCATTTGTCCACCGTCTTTTCGTTACTTTCTTTTTTAATGTTTCCCTTCTTTCTTTCTTTCTTTCTTTCTTTCTTTCTTTCTTTCTTTCTTTCTTTCTTTCTTTCTTTCAGTTTCTTTTTCTATTTTTCATTCTATTGAAATGTCCTTCCTTTTTTTCCCTCGTATCTTTTCACTTCCCTTCTTTCTTTTTTCGATTTGCTTTTCTTTTTTCTTCATTTTTTTCTTTTGTCTTCTACATTGTCTTAAAGTTATTCCATTCTTTTCCTTTACTTTCTTTTTTCTTTCATCTTTTTCGTTTCAGCTTGCTTTTTCTTTCTTTTTGTTTCTTTCTTTTTCCTTTCAGTTTCTTTTTTCTTTCTTTCTTTTTACTTTCTTTATTTTTCCTTTCAGTTTATTTCTTCTTTTCTTTTTCTTTTTCGTTTCAGCTTCTTTTTTCTTTCTTGTTTCTTTCTTTCTTTTTCCATTCAGCTTCTTTTTCTTTCTTTTTCGTTCTTTCTTTTTTGTTTCAACTTCGTTTCTTTCTTTTTTCTTTGTTTTTCCTTTCAGTTTCTGATAATGTCAGATGCAGCCTTTTGATGACTTCATTTAAATTATATCGGCGAAAAATATACGGAATTCCATCTTCGGTTGAATAACCCTGCAAAAAAAAAAAACTATCAAAGATAACCTTAAGTAGCTGCACATTTCATCCAACAGAACAACAGTATTGATAATGTCGGATGCGTCCATTTGGTGACTTCATTTAAATTCCAGCAAGAACGCCGAAAGTCCGAGTTAAAATATATTTTTAAAATAAATCTACACATTTAAGGTTTAAATATGAATTTAGGCATAGCCAATCAATACAGTTTCCACAAAAAGTCTACAACAGACCTACTACAACCCTAGTTCTAGGGTAGTTGCACAGGGGACATTTGCTTCCCGCACAATTGCGTATAGGCAATTGCTTTCCTGCACATTTGCACCCCAAGACGAATGCATCCCTGGATAATTGCGTACCTCTGATAAATTTTTGAAGCTTTTCAAGGCGATAACCATAAATTTTGAAATGCATAGGCAGTAATCATATTTTTTAAAAAGAATAAAATAGAAAAAAAATAAAAGTTTATTCTTGTTTAAAATGCAATGACAGAATAAGTCTTGCGAGATCACTCTACGCTTTGCCAATTGGCGAAGTGTAGAGTGATCTAGCATCGGTATTTTTCTTATGATAGCGGTAGCTGTATTTTTTCTCGTTCGCAAATATTTTTCCAGTGGTGTTTGATTTGTGGACTTGGATTCCAAATAAAAATAAAATCTATAAAATCAAGAATCTATTCGATGTTTGTGCTAAGCGCTGCTGGAGTGAACTGAAAATGCTAGCGTAATTTTCTCTTGCTTTAAAATTTTTCTCTCTTTTTAATTTATGGTAACTATCTCTTTGATTGTTTCGATTAATTAAATGTACTGGTGTGTTAATTTCTATATTAAAGAACTCTTCAAAAAAAATAGTAACTTCAAAATATTATCAGAGGTAAGCAATTATCCAGGGAACATTTCGTCTACCTAAAACCTCTTGGAAAACCCCTAGCCCAAAACTACTATATTTCATCAGTATTATAACATATGCCACAAAAAATTCTCCCGAAAAAGTTCAACTTCATTTAATTTCTCGTTGAGAAAGAAAACAGGCTTATCGGAAAATATAAAATTTAACATTTTCTCTCATCAGGCTTCTAATTGATCTACTATAGCATATAGTAAATATAATTTTTATTATCATTATTATTACTGTTGCTTTTTTTATCTCTCAAATCTTTTTCATTGGCCAAATATATATATATATATATATATATATATATATATATATATAAATATATAATATAAATAGAAGTCAACACTTAGAGGCGACAGTCTGTTTCATGGCCTATATTGCAATCGTCAGGCCAGACTGTCGATTGACGTGTTGACATATGTTCACTTTTATATTCACACGCTCTATCTCTGATATTGAGCACTTTATCCCATAAATATAGCACTCCTTAAGACTATATTTCTTTATATATATATATATATATATATATATCAGAATGTGCAGCTTATATCACAAAGAAAAATATACAAAGAATATAATAGCAATGTTAATGTCATTAATGGCGAAATCACTTCGCTAACAAGACTTAATGAGACATTAACTTACTATGAATTCCTTGAATTATAAGATTCTTATATTCTAGTTGTTTTCAGATGGAAGACACAGGCCAAGTACTTTCGACAATTTCAAATTCTCATCTTCTGGGCGCAATTTTCTTATACATAGGCAAACACTAAGACGAAGTATGCGTAGATCGGAAGATGCTTTATTCTTTGTAAAAATTGTTACTTTATGATATCTATGTTCAAATGTGACGACAACGAAAAGAATATAAATTCAAACGTTCATAGAATTAATTTAAAAGAGGGATCAATATCAAGTGTAGAGTAATAGTTATTTATTATAATGATGTTACATACGGACAAACAAGTACTCACAAATATATATATATATATATATATATATATATATATATATATATATAATTAATAGAAATCTTATAAGAAATTATACTCGCTCGGAAAACCTTCGGTGTGTTGATTTGCAAATAATCAAACCAATACCAAAGGGGGGAAAAAGAACCAAGAACATGTACGTTAACCGAAAATAATCGTCCAGCATACGACTTCAAGGCCCAAAGAAAAAAAAACCTGTTGCGATTACTCAAAACAACTAATTAAAGTACTCAATACAATGAGTAGAGCATATCTAGTTAAACCTAGAGAGCCAGACAGACCTACCTATATATATATATATATATATATATATATATATATATATATATATATATATATATGCACTGCGTGCCAAATTATTATCGAGATAACTATTTTTCTAATATTTCAAAACCCGTCCAATCATTTCACACAAAATTTTCACACAATGTTGGCAACACTAACCTACGCAATCACAGAAATTTTCGTACTGATCTGCGCAATGTAAACAAAATTTTGTGTGAATTGATTCGACGTTTTTTGAAATATTAGAAAAAAATTATCTTGATAATAATTTGGCACGCAGTGTAAATGAGAGATAAATAATGACGCACAGTTCACACTCGTCCCCAGTTTTTTGAACATGAGTAGAGGTTTATCCCTTGTTTCCTGTTAAAGAATAGGTTTCCGTTTCTTCTGAAGTCTTCTTTAGTCTTCTCATTCTCTCCCCCCCCCCCAGTACATGAATATATAAAATTTATATTGTTAAATTTAACAGACAGTAAACCTTTTATTGTCTGATAATGAGTCGTTCTAAAGGTGGTATGTTTGATTTAATTTGCCGTGAAATTAAAAACAAAATTTATCCAACATTTGGATATTTTTTTTTTTATTAATCTGGGCCTTAATCTAAGATTTCGATTCACATGAGCCACCTTCATGGCGGTATAATAGACATTCAATACACTATATATATATATATATATATATATATATATATATATATATATATAACACAGCACCTGAAGATTGCGTTTTGCATGTAACTCCGAGTTGTGCTACCGGTGAAGAAAAAGATATTTATTTATTATTGATATATGATTTATAGCGCTGTTATTTTACATCGAGCCCTATTTTATTAATGCCAGCACTCAGTGTGCGAGATATATTCAAAGATAAACGTTTATGGTTAACAACAGTTGAACCAAAAGGAAGTGGATATTATATATATATATATGTGTGTGTGTGTGTGTGTGTGTGTGTGTGTGTGTGTGTGTGTGTGCGAGCGTGTGCACGCACGCGTTTGTGTGTTTAGGTATAGAAATCAACCCTGCATGGTAAATGTCATTTTCATGTTTATGGTTATCATCAGACTCAATCTCTTGCACTTTATATATATATATATATATATATATATATATATATATATATATATATATATGATGGCAGAGGTAGAGGTGAGAGAAGGATGGCGATATCTAAGCTAGATAGATTATTTATTTTACGTTACAAATAACCTTTCTTGTCAATGCACTTAATTCAGGAATTAATATTAATGACAGAAAGTGTGCAAATGTCAGATGAATGCATGTCTAGCTACATGTATAAGAATGTGTTTTCCTTACCCCATCACTCTGTAAGCGGAATGTCCCTCTCTCACTCACCCTCGCCCCCCCTCTCTCTCTCATACACCCACACAAACACAAAACCAAAAAAAAAAAAAAATACAAATATTTTTAGCTCATATTTTAGAGGGAGTCCAGGACAAACTAATCAAACATCATCTTGGTCAAAACTAATAGACACACAGGGAGATACGTAGGTTGAATTTGTATTTAGCTAATTTAAGGATATATCACCTGATCAGTTATTAATGTTGAATAAGCATCTGAAAGCTGGGACAATTAGAGCCAGATACTGTTCAGACTAGATGCAGGTCTGGTAGAAAAAAGATAAACAGATAAAACAGACATATATATATATATATATATATATATATATATATATATATATAATGGACTCTCTCGTCGGTTTCGACATATGAGGATCTGGTAAGTTAATTGATTCAGTTATGAAATTTTAGAGATTTACAAAGGAGGCCACATATGAAACAAGAGTAAGGATTGTGGGATGAGATCACTGTTAGATTGGCTGACCTTTTATATCTTGCCCTTGCTTCTTGAAGACGATTCTGACAAGCTATTTCGTATATATATATATATATATATATATATATATATATATATATATATATATATATATGCCCTAATTAATGCCAAAACTTTTAAGAATAATACTTTGCATAATCTCCTTTCACACAAACAATATGACTTTCAATTCACCAGGTTTACCGCCGAGATATCTCAATAGTATTCGACAGGGTTTGACATGCTGGCCTTCTACGCAAGCCCGAGGGATACAATTTCTCGGGAATTATAATTGGCTGAATCCAATCGTCTCTGAGTAATGAATGTCGTATTGAACGAGCACGCTTACAGAAAATTTTATACTAATCTGAGAGTCGCCAGAGCTGCAACCTTGGACCTACGCTGTTTCTAATCTTTATCAATGATCTTCCTGGTGTCATCAGTTCCTGGCTAGATATTTATGTAGATGACAGTAACTGTCTTAGTAGTAACAGATCCAACAAAGTAAACCTGGCAACTACACCCTTGTCCAAATTAATTGAAACAACCGATTTAGTTTCCTTTCACTATACATTTGTTGTGGAGTTATTTCGCAGTGAAGGCTTGTATTTGTACTAAATCAGTCCTAAAATAGGTTCGACGTACAAAAACGTTAGGAACTTGATATAATAGGTATTACGCAGAGTAATCTTGTTGTGGTCGCTGACTACTTTCGTATTCGACTAACTGTCGACTACTGTCGTCCGACATCGACTGACCCTCGTTTCTCTTACTACTCCTACTTATATTAGGTGGGAGAGTCTATTAGCTATAGAATAGGTGTGTTTCACCATAACAACATTCAGTTTTGGAACCACTGGAGTGACAGGGTGTTATC